ATGCGTAAGGGCACTTACATGGAACTTTGTGACTTGCTTTCCCCTGCCCTGAAGTGCATGAATACCAAGATGAGAGCAGCCCTCACAGTTGAGAAGCGAGTGGCAATAGCCCTGTGGAAGCTTGCAATGCCAGACATCTACCGGTCAGTTGGGAATCAATTTGGAGTGGGCAAATCTACTGTGGGGGCTGCTGTGATGCAAGTAGCCAACGCAATCAAAGATCTGCTGATATCAAGGGTAGTGACCCTGGGAAGCGTGCAGGTCATAGTGGATGGCTTTGCTGCAATGGGATTCCCTAACTGTGGTGGGGCCATAGACAGAACCCATAGCCTTATCTTGGCACCGGAGCACCAAGCTGGCGAGTACATAAACTGCAAGGGGTACTTTTCAATAGTGCTACAAGCACTGGAGGATCACAAGGGACGTTTCACCAACATCAACGTGGGATGGCTGGGAAAGGTACATGACGTGCGCATCTTCAGGAACTCTGGTCTGTTTCAAAAGCTGCAGGAAGGGACTTTATTCCCAGACCAGAAAATAACTGTTGGGGATGTTGAAATGCCTATAGTTATCCTTGGGGACCCAGCCTACCCCTTAATGCCATGGCTCATGAAGCCACACACAGGCAGCCTGAACAGTAGTCAGGAGCTGTTCAACTACAGGCTGAGCAAGTGTGGAATGGTGGTAGAATGTGCATTTGGACGTTTAAAAGCGCACTGGCGCAGTTTACTGACTCAGTTAGACCTCAGCAAAACCAATATTCCCTCTGTTATTACTGCTTGCTGTGAGCTCCACAATCTCTGAGAGAGTAAGGGGGAGATGTTTATGGCGGGGTGGGAGGTTGAGGCAAATCGCCTGGCTGCTGGTTACACGCAGCCAGACACCAGGGCGGTTAGAAGAGCACAGGAGGGTGTGGTGAGCGTCAGAGAAGCTTTGAAAACCAGTTTCATGACTGGCCAGGCTACAGTGTGAAAGTTCTGTTTGTTTCTCCTTGATAAACCCCTCCCCACCTTAGTTCACTCTACTTCCCTGTAAGCATCACATTCATGCATTCTGTATTAATTCGTCACACAAATAGGGGGATAACTGACAAGGTAGCCCAGGAGGGGTGGTGGAGGAGGGAAGGACAAGGCCACACAGCACTTTAAAACTAATTGAATGCCAGCTTTCTGTTGCTTGGGCAATCCTCTGGAGTGGAGTAGCTGGGTGGCCGAAGGCCCCCCCCCCCCACATTCTTGGGAGTCTGGGTGAGGAGGTATGGAACTTGGGGAGGAGGGCAGTTGGTTACACAGGGGCTGTAGCAGTGGTCTGTGCTCCTGCTGCCTTTCCTGCAGCTCAACCATATGCTGGAGCATATTAGTTTGATCCTCCAGCAGTCTCAGCATTGAATCCTGTCTCCTCTCATCATGCTGCCGCCATCTCTCCTCTTTAGCCCGCCACTACTCTCTTCAGCCCGCCACCTCTCCTCACGTTCATTTTGTGCTTTCCTGCACTCTGACATTGTCTGCCTCCGCACATTCGTCTGTGCTCTGTCAGTGTTGGAGGACAGCATGAGGTCAGAGAACATTTCATCGCGAGTGTGTTTTTTTCGCCTTCTAATCTTCGCTAGCCTCCGGGAAGGAGAAGATCCTGTGATCCTTGAAACACATGCATGCAGCTGGTGGAGAGAAAAAAAGGGACAGTGATAGTTAAAAAGACACATTTTATAGAGCAATGGGCACACTCTTTCACAGTAAGCCTTGCTGTTAACATAGCACATGTGCTTTCGTTCCAAGGTCGCATTTTGCCTCCCCCCACCGCGTGGCTAACAGCGGGGAACATTTTGTTCAGCCACAGGCAAACAGCCCAGCAGGAACGGGCACCTCTGAATGTCCCCTTAAGAAAAGCACCCTATTTCAACCAGGTGACCATGAATGATATCACTCTGCTGAGGATAACAGAGATAAAGAACGGATGTTGTTTGAACGCCAGCAAACATACGCTGCAATGCTTTGTTCTGCAATGATTCCCGACCATGTGCTACTGGACTGGTGTGGTAAAGTGTCCTACCATGGTGGAAGGAATAAGGCTGCCCTCCCCAGAAACCTTTTGCAAAGGCTTTGGGAGTACATCCAGGAGAGCTTTATGGAGATGTCCCTGGAGGATTTCCGCTCCATCCCCAGATACATTAACAGACTTTTCCAGTACCTGTACTGGCCGCGAATGCCAGGGCAAATAATCATTAAACACGCTTGCTTTTAAACCATGTATACTATTTAAAAAGGTACACTCACCAGAGGTCCCTTCTCCACCTGGCGGGTCCAGAAGGCAGCCTTGGGTGGGTTCGGGGGGGTACTGGCTCCAGGTCCAGGGTGAGAAACAGTTCCTGGCTGTCGGGAAAACCAGTTTCTCTGCTTGCTTTCTGTGAGCTACCTACAACCTCATCATCATCATCATCCTCTTCCTCGTCCCCAAAACCTGCTTCCATGTTGCCTCCCTCTCCATTGAAGGAGTCAAAGCACACGGTTGGGGTAATGGTGGCTGAACCCCCTAAAATGACATGCAGCTCATCATAGAAGTGGCATGCTTTCGGCTCTGACCCGGAGCGGCCGTTTGCCTCTCTGGTTTTCTGGTAGGCTTGCCTCATCTCCTTAAGTTTCATGCGGCACTGCTTTGGGTCCCTGTTATGGCCTCTGTCCTTCATGCCCTGGGATATTTTTGACAAATGTTTTGGCATTTTGAAAACTGGAACAGAGTTCTGATAGCACAGATTCATCTCCCCATACAGCGATCAGATCCCGTACCTCTCGTTCAGTCCATGCTGGAGCTCTTTTGCGATTCTGGGATTCCATCATGGTCACCTCTGCGGATGAGCTCTGCACTCACCTGCAGCTTGCCACGCTGGTCAAACAGGAAATGAGATTCAAAAGTTTGCGGGCTTTTTCCTGTCTAGCTGGCCAGTGCATCTGAGTTGAGAGCGCTGTCCAGAGTGGTCACAATGGAGCACTCTGGGATAGCTCCCGGAGGCCAATACCGTCGAATTGCATCCACGCTACCCCAAATTTGACCCGGCAAGGCCGATTTCAGCACTAATCCCCTTGTTGGGGATGGAGTAGAGAAATAGATTTTAAGAGCCCTTTAAGTAGAAAAAAAGGGATTCATCGTGTGGACGGGTGCAGGGTTAAATCGATTTAACGCTGCTAAACTCTACCTCAACTACTAGTGTAGACCAGGGTTCGTTCTCTTTCCTGACTAGAGATGTGTTCTGCTGCACCTGTATATCTTTTCTCTCACTTGAGTATTTTTCTATTTTCTGCATTTGGGTATCTTTTCGTAGCCTCCGCAGATGACACTTTTTAAATTATTTAAATATTTTGTATTTCTCTAACTTGTTCTGCTACTGAACATCCTTTATATTCTGCACTGTGCTTTCCCTCACAATTGTTGCATTTAGGTTCTGTTCTTTCTACACAGTTGTCATTTGTGTGACTTCCTTCACATTTACTGTACCTCATTGTTCCCTTAGTCAAACCTTTGACAGCCATTTCTATGTGGCAATTACAGCACCTCATGGCAGAAGACGGGGGAGGGAATATATGGTTTAACCCAGAAATATTGATACCCCACTTTTAAGTGTTATGCCTCTTGATCCCTCTGTAGATGGCCAGTTTTCTGCCTCTCTCCTAAGTAGCTGTTTAACAAACAATAGTTTATCTTTGCCTGTACTCTTTTTGTGATATCCTCAGAGAATCCTAACCATATTCCCTACATAACCCCTTTTGCTTATGTCAGGAATTTAGGCAATTGACAAGTAACTTTCATTTTCCCTAAGCTTACAGATTCAAGAAGTTTTTCAACTTGCTCCTGATGTGTACAGTCTATCAATAGATCTCCGCCCTGCATTCTTTTAGCTCTTTGTATGTCACAACCCCCTGAAAATGGAATGGATAAAGAAAAGTGGTGAACATCTCTTACCTTCACATCTTCTCACTTATTTGACAATTATGAAATGTTGACTTTTATCCTGCATTTGTTTTTCATTTCTGTGCATTCCTTCTTCAAATCCTGACATATCAAGACTTCGTTTCCCCCTGTTCTGAGACCACTCTTTGTCCCCCGCTGCTTCTCCTTCATAGTCCAAGGAGATTTTCTCTTTTTCTCCCCCTGCTTCCATTGTCAGTTTCAACTTGCAGCCAAGGACCAGCACCAGCGACAGCCCTCCACCACCAGACTACTCCTGCAGCTCAGAGTCTTCTGCCAGATACCAGCATTCAGCCCAGTTCCAACATCCAGGCAGGCTGGCCAGCCCACCTAGTCCCCTTCTGCTGTCAATTTCCTGACTTTTTACAAGCCCAGCCTGCTCCTGGACACCTGGGCTTCATCTTCAGTTAGTGCTTATCAATCAAGCCTGACTCTCCCCCAGGTGCAGCCAGAAAGGTTAATTGGTCCCTTTAGGGCTACCTTAGGGTTTGTGTGGTGTGAACACCCCATCACATCAAGTTAGTGTCCTGTATGTAGTAAGATAAGCACCAATACTAGGACTTGGAATAGGCAGCTCCCCAGGCCTGGAATCCCAAGTCAGTTCTGAGTCTCAGTCTTCCATGGATCTGTAGATTGGTCACTGAGCCAGTTGGTAGGGTTTTTTAAAAAAGAAATCATGTTTTTAATAGGAAGTGGGTTCTGATATGTCTAAGTATCTGTTCTTTCCTTTCTGATCAGATCCTATCCCAGCTTACAACAGATGCTTCTGATGTCTTTTCCTTTTCCTTCTCCTTCCTCAAACAATACTGTATGTGTTCATCTGATGGGATGGAATTAGCCATTTGGCTGGCAGACTCTTTGGGAGCAGGCTTTCTAGCCAGTCCGAGCACGATTTGCCACGTGGAATGTACCTTCTAAAGAGGAAAGATGGCTCTGATCCTTCCAGTCCTTATGGTTTTAATAAGGAGTATAAATGTATTTAGTTTTATGCCTCTGGGTAGATAGTGTCTGATGTACTATCTCTCTTCTTTCCCTCGTAGGATATACTTTGGGGAAGTGCAGCTGAGCGGCTTGGGAGAAGGTATGGTTGTGCAATGGACATAAACTAGCTGATGTGTCTCTCCCAAATTGTCAGGTTTTGTAATGGTATCCTAGTGTTATAAGGAGACCAGGCCTGCAGTTCACAAGTAATTTCTGTTCTGCTTTATCTGTAATGGATGTTACAAAATGACAGCTATGCCTTATTAACACTAACCTTAGCTTGAGAATCCCTACTGTGAGTAATGCTAATCCTAGGCTGTAAACCTAGCCCAGAGAGGCCTACCCTTAGGAACCCTAGCCCTAGTCTGGAGAGACCTACTGACTAGGCATAACCCTATGCTTCAGGCCTACCCTTTGTAACCTGAACCCTGGCTTGAGGATTCTTACTGGCCACAGGACTCCTCCTAGCCCAGGAATCCCTACCCTTAGTAACCCAAACCCTAGCCTGGGGACTCCACTGATGCCAGGCATAACCCTAGCCCATAGATACTTATCCTTAGTAACTCTAACCATAGCATGGAGAACCCTAGTGTTCCCAGGCCTAAATGTAGGCCAGAGAGGTCTACCCTTAATAAACCTAACCCTGGTCAGTGTAGTCCTACTGGTTCCAAGCCTATTGATAGCCTGGGAACCCTATCTTTGGTAATCTAACCTTAGGCCAGAGAGCCCTACTGACCCCAGGTGTCGCCCTAGCCTGGGGAAGCCTACCCTTAGTAACCCTAACCCTAGCTCAAGAAGGCCCATTAAATCCAAGTGTGACTGTAGTCCAGAGATGCCTACCCTTAGTAATCCTAACCCTAGCCTGGAGACCCCTACCTTCAGCAATCCTAACTCTAGCTCAGGAAGCCCTGCTGACCGCAGGCATAACTCTAGCCTGAAGAGTCATACCCTTAGTAACCCTATCCCTACCTTGAGGATCCCTGCTGGCCACGGGCCTAATTCTAGCCCATGGAGCCCTACCCTTAGTAATCCTAACCCTGGTCAGAGGAGCCCTACAAGCCCCAAGCCTAGTGATAGCCCAGGGTAGGGTTGCCAACTTTCTAGTCACACAAAACTGAACACCCAAGCCCTGCCCCTTGCCTGAGGCCCTGTCCCTTCCCCAGGGCCATGCCCCCCGCTCACTACATTCCCCCTCCCTTGGTGGCTCGCTCTCCCCCACCCTTGCTCACTTTCACTGGGCTGGGGCAGGGGGTTGAGGGTGTGGGAGGGGGTGAGGGCTCCAGGGTGGGGCCAGACATGAGGGATTCAGGGTGCGGGAGGGGGTTCTGGGTTTGGGGAGAGGCTCAAGGCAGGTGGTTGGGGCGCAGGGTTACCTCGGGTGGCTCCCGGTCAGTGGCGCAGCGGGGGGGGCTAAGGCAGGCTGCGTGCCTATCCTGGCACCCAGTGGCGCTCGAACATTTTTAGTAGTGGAGGTGCTGAGGTGAGGGGTTGTGGGGACGGAGGGCCAGGAGCAGGGCATAGGCGCGGGAAGCAGCACCCACACCCCTACTTCCCGCGCCTATGCTGGCACCATGCTGTGCACGCCCTGGAAGCAGCAAACAACCAGCAGGTCCGCCTCCTAGGTGGGGGTGCTAGGAGGCTCCACGCGCTGCTCTCACCTGCAGAGTGCAGAGCCAGGGCAGGGGGCAGCATGCGGAGCCCTGTGGCCCCCCCCGACCCCCCGAAGGAGCCAAACCTGCTGGCCATGGTGCCAGCCAGAACAGATAGGGACTAACCTGCCTTAGCTCCGTAGCACTGCCGACTGGACTTTTAACAGTGGTGTTGACCAGAGCCGCCAGGGTCCCTTTTCTGCTCGGTGCTCTGGTCAAAAACCGGACACCTGGTCACCCTAGCCCAGGGACCACTACCTTAGTAACACCAGCCTGGAGTGCCTTACTGACCTCAGGCGTAACACTAGCCCCGACATGCCTACCCTGAGTAATCCTAATCCCAGCCCAGGGAGCTCCACTGAACCCAGGTCTAAACCTAGTCTGGAGAGGCCAACCCTTAGAAACCCTAACTCCAGCCTGGGAAGCTGGGCCCTTAGCAACCCTGGCCAGGGATCCCTAAAGACCACAGGCTTAACCATAGCCCATGGATCCCTACCCTTGGTAACCTTACCCCTAGCATGAGAAGCCCTCTACTGACTCAAGGCATAACCCTTGTCCAGGGAGGCCTATCCTTAGAACTTTTGAGAATGTTCACGATGATGGTCACTTCTACTCTAGCAGTCCAGGACTGAAATAGTAGAACTGAGGTGCATCTGTGTGGCTTAGGACTGGAACAGCAGTAGGTGATGCCATTCACGAAAGAGGGGCATTAGCAAAGCTATGTGTGGGGCCAGGACTGGAATTGCAGGCAGTGAAGCAGGTGAGGGTGACAGTAAGACAGATACCACAAGACAACATATTGCTGGTGTTTTTCCTTCGTGTTTTTGTTCAGAGCTCAAAATGGAGGGATTAATGAAACCAAGTTTAGGAAGATCTAATCCAGACCGGGTGTATGGAATAGAAATAATCAACCTTTATGACCATCATAAGAAGCTAGTGAAACTGATAACCACTCTTCTACCCCTTTTAGGTTTCCAGACAGTCCGTGTTGGAACAGTGGGTACCCCATTGGGCACCATCACTCTGTCTTGTGCCTACAGAATCAACCTGGCCTTCATTTCAACCAGGTAAGGAAATGTGGTCAGCCCAAAAAGCATCTTCCAAGAAAACAACATTAAACCTCTTATTCCCTGAGCCCTTAAATCTCTTCCTCACATTTCCTCATTCCAATTTAGGTAGTCCCACATTAAACATCCTCCTGGATCCTCAGGTCTTGCAGAGGGGGAGTATTTGGGTAGCCCTGAGTCAGACTCCAGAACACCATGTCACTGGTTCATGCTTGGAGTTGCAGGGTTGAATTGTGGTGATGCTCTGGTCCCCATTAACAGATACAAGGGACTCTTTGGGAACGAGTGGGGACGCAGTAGAGAGGGGAAGCCAGTCTTATGAATAACACCATATGCTTGTTGTGTTACAGGCAGTTTGAGAGGACCCCACCTATCATGGGGATTATCATTGATCACTTTGTGGACCGTCCCTACCCCAGCTCCTCACCCATGCACCCGTGCAATTACAGGTGAGGAAACAGAGTGTGGTCATGGGCTATAAATGAAGGCTTTCTTATGCCCAAGTACAGAGCCTTCTCTAGTACCTGCTGACTGGGCGTAGAGGAGGACTGCAGGATCAGTGTCACTCTTATTAGAAATGGAGCATGTAAGGAAAGGCAGCATTTCCCCCTCAGGTTTAGAGGTTTGAGTGCAGCTAGCCTCAGAGGATTCTCAATGGTCCTAACTCCTTGCTGTAACATTCTAGATCATTTAGCAGTCAGGGTGCAATCTCCTTTGTGTCAGTGATGGAGTTATCTGATTGCATATTGTACAGAAGGGAAAGTGTACCAGTTATCATGCAAGACACTTGGTACAGAACCTGGGGTCATGGAAGCATGCATCTGTGGGAATTCACATAGGTGGGTATCACTGTGGGAAAGCCCACAGGGTTGAGATTTTTCATCAGCAGCAGGGTACACATGTAAGTAAGAATGGAGGAAATAAGTGCATGAAGTTTGCCTTCTCTAAAATTCCTGTGATGATGATCTAATCAAGAGCAATGACACAATATTTGGTATTGGTCCCAGGGATTCTACCAGCAACAAAGCTGGGTCTGTTGGTCAGTACATCGAAACCTTTTCTCTTGGAAAAAGAAACCAGATGGAAGAGGAAGCACCTTTTCCTTCTTCAGGGAGAACCTCTGGAAAGTTCAAAGCCCAAAGGACTTAAACTCCTGGCAGTGTTCTCTTCAGCCCTGCCAACGAAAGAATCCGAGCCCCTTCGTAAATTCTTCTTTCAGCTCCGCCCAAATACTCTGTCCTCCTGCAGCATCTGAGTCTCACTCAATAGACTGGATGATCACAATGGTCCCTTCTGGCCTTGGAATCTATGAATACTTTTCATTATTTCTTTTTGGCTTATGGAATATTCCTATCATGAAATTTCTCTCTTCTTGCTGCTCTAGAACGACTGGTGAGGACAATGGGGCAGCATACCCATCAGTGGAAGACTCCCAGGAAGTGTGCACTACCTCTTTCTCCACCTCCCCTCCATCCCAGGTAGGAGAAAATGAGCTCCTCAGTCCCAAAGGCAAGTTGAACAACTAATTCCCTTTAGTGCAGCTCAGCATATGTCCTCTGAAGTAGCAGGTGTACAGTCTCACAGCAGTATGCTGTGTGTTCAGTCTCTGTAATTAAAATTTGTTTACTTATACATATGTATTGCCCAGACCTTGCTCCCCTCTTTGTAAAACCCAGGTGGATGCTAATTCCAACAAGACTTCATGGGACAGAAGGGACTGATTTATGAGGAAAGATTCAAAAACTAAATTGTGTAGCTGGGCTAAGCAATGACTGAAGAGGAACACGGCAGTCTACAGATATGTCCAGGGGATAAACACTACAAAGAGACAAATGAATTCAGATAAGGCCAGGCAATATAACAAGGTGTAATAGCCTCGAATTGGGAGGGAGACTCTCAGGAATATCAGGAGAAGACTTACCTTACTTTGCAGTCTCCTAGGCTGTGGAACTATTCTAGGAAAGGGTGAAAGCCCTATCACTTGGAGCATCTAAAACTAGACTGGACAAACACTAGCAAGTACCTGATGGGGAACAGTTCTGCATTGATCCTTGGTGTGAATTATATGGGAACTTTTCTAGAGCTGGTTGAAATTTTCCACTCATTACAGGGTCTTTTTCATCATTTTTTAACTGTTCATGAAAAAATGTCTATAGAAAATTTTGCAAAAAATGTTTAGAGACTTTTTAAAAATTTATCCATTTTTGTTTATTTAAATCTGCATTTTCTTACTGCAAACACAGTTTTCAATAAATGGAAACGTTTGCATAATATTTTTCATTTAAAATATCTCTGGAAACAATGCAAAAAACAGAAAATGGGTCCATTTTGAACCCTACAAAATGAAAACAACTTCAAAATTTCTAGCAGTCTTCTGCCCCCTTTTCAACCAGATTCATTCTTTTTTTTCCTGTCTGTAATTTCTATAGCTCTCTGACTAAAGCTAGGTCAGATTATCTGTTTTCCTGTAGCTTTAGAAGTTCAAGAACATTCAGTCCAGTTGTCCACAAAATTAAGTATCTCTGGTGAACTTTAAGATCTCTAGTCCATTTCTGATGTGTCTGTGTTACTATGGTCAAGAGTGAAATGCAGTTTGAGAACGTTTTTCTCATTTGAATGAGTTTGCTTTGGGGTCACTTATTGCCTCAAGGTGATCAATCTGACAAACTACTAGTAAATATATTTAATTTTGATAAATGTAGTAATAAATCCATCTCAAGAGGCCTCTCTTGTGCCTCACTGATATTTTGATGACCAGTTCACCCAGCAATGTTGAATCAGAGAGGGAGTGCTCATGGTAAGTCTGAGGGAGTAAAGCTGTTGGTTGTTAGATGTCCAGCACAAGAGACTTGTTTGAGGCTGAGCCCCATGCTCTCTGCCTTTCAATAAATGGTGTTAATACATATTAATGTTCATGAGAACATTTGTACTGGTCCCTATGTCAGTTACTCATAGCCAGAGTTAGTTACATAATAGTAACAATGGTGCTAAATAAATTGCCACCGGTCGTCTTTCTGGAGGGCATGAAGCTTTCTAATATCGGAAGAAAAGCTCTATGAAACCATCAGTGCTTTGAGGATTGGTGACTAACAGCAGCCTCTGGTACCAGTGCTCCATGGTTTATAATTTACATACATAATATGATCAGATGTAAAGCAATTGTCAATCTTTCTGGCCAAAGGCAACATTTAAAAAGGCACTATAAGGGGACAACTTACATTGAAAAAAGGCAAACCCTCTTTATATATTTATAAACATCTAAAAGTCCAGATCAGGTACTGAGACCTGTCTGTGCACTGGATTCTGTACATACAGACTGTGGCCTCCCCCCCCAAGCTGCATCCCACATTCCTACTGAGTGGAAGGGAGGCTCAGCCACTCTGCTGCTGGACCTCAATAGGCCTATCTAGGCATCCATGTATTGGGAGGGGGTAAACACAAGATTGGCGGAATACATCCTCCTCCCTTTAGCCCTGTAGAGTTTACTAGAAAAGATGCAGACTACCCTGCATTGTATTTTCCGTGGAGAACACCAAAGTGTTCAGGGATTGTACCTGCTAATGTGATTCCAATTGAACTGTGCTTCCAGGAAGCTGGGAGACAGACCTGGTGCGGTGAGATTCCCATGGATGGCCCACCCCTCTCACATCAGGCACCCTCTGCTAGACAATTTTTAATGCCACAGATTGCCAATTTCCACTTAAGGCCCTGCTCCACTTGCTGTGTTCTGGTATAAAAATGATTTGGATCATGGTAGTGCCCAGAGGCCTCAGCCTGGATCAGGGCCCCATTGGGCTGGGTGCTGCACAGGGACACACACAGACATGTTCCCTGCCCCTCAGAATTTACAATTTTGGAAGACTAGCTACATCTGAAGGGGAGACCATCAAAATATAGACAACTTGTATGTGTTCAAATCAAAATCAGTCTCAACTGTTCCTAAGAGCCCCTCAGCCTAGTCTTGGTGAACTGGCTAGCAGTCCTAGTAAGCTGTGCAATGGAGCTTTTGGCAGTTGCTTTATGTCTAATTCTCTCTGGAGTTGTGATGGGGAGTGGTTCACTGCAAGACTGACTCCTTTACAAATTAAATGAATTTCTGGCCATACTGAGAATTTTACCATGCATAAAGCTGTCTGATTGCTCTGGCCATAGATGCTCCTCATTAGTGTTCAGTTCATCCAACTCTTTTCAGTTCTTCTCTCAAGTCCTTTTCTCTTTCTTCCTTCCTTGTTTTCCTCTGTGTGTCTGTGTATGTGCACAGTGTGTTTTTACTGTCACTAAGGCACATTTTCAGACCCCTCCTCCTGTGGTGATGGACACCTTGAAGGTCCCTATGATGGGACTGGCCTTTTCACATCAAGTGAGTTCACAATAGAATACAGTATCTATGGCCTGATAGTACTTTTAAAAATGCAGGAAGGTACAAGTTTGACTATCCAGAGTGTACACTGGGAAATAAATCTGTTTGCTGCTTCCTTATGCTGAAGAAGTTGGTCAGCCCAAAATGGGATGGGCTTTTTATTCTGGTTAGATGTGTTCACAATGTCTGTGATTCTTTATATAGCAGGGTTTTTTGTTTGTTCAAAATGGTGCTCTAGTGCTCTTTAAACTAAAAAACACTTGCAGCATAGCACTGAGCAGCAGCCCTATAGGAAGCAACCAATGCATGCCATTTGAGAGGTCAAGGGGGGAGAGTGTCTTGTCAAGGTATCAAGGGGTCTTGACTGCAGTGGGTAGAAGAAATTTAATTTATCAAAGTGCACAGTGCTTTGTCGGCTGGCAGGGGCTTGGGAAAGAAGCAGCATTCCTCACCTCTGCAGGGAGGGAGGCCCAGCATACCTCCTGTGATCCCAGAGACCACCTAGCACACACAAGGCTTCATGTTGACTGGCTATAGAGGAGCTTTATGCAACTTTTCTTGGAGTAGGCAGGGAGTAAAGAAAAGGGGAGGGGTGGCAAAGGTCTTAGAGGGTCTTGGAGGGCAAAAATGAATTGAATGCCCCATCATGACAGTCTGTTTTGAAGCATTTCAATGTAAACATCTGGGGTAAAATCCTGACTGCTCTGAAGTCTATGGGAGATTGGCCACTAACTTCAATGGAGACAGGATTTCACCTGTGGTTGTCTAGGGCTCAGATCCTAAATGGTATTTAGGTCCTAACTCCCACTGAAATCAGAGTTAGGTACCTAAATTTCTTTGAGGATCTTGGCCTAGTTCTCTTTCCCAGTCAGGATGTTTGCTTGTTACTCACGTGTTCCGATTGCAGGAACTTAGAGACCATCATCTGTTACCCATATGACACAACAGGCATCAGTGGATAGTGCTTGAAGTGTTCTCTCATGAGTAGCCTCTGGCTCTGGAACCTGCACCTCCTGTAACGTGGTGCTTGTTCTAAGAGTGTTAAAGTTGAGACACTGTTAACTTGAAAAAATCTCACCACTCTGTCTGAAAATGTTTGATCTCTGGTTGTTATAAGTAACACCTAAGAGGACTAGAAAGATGTCTGTTTTCTACTTTTGTTCGTTTATTTTGTGCTTCTCACACACTTTGTGTAGTCAGTTTCTATGTCTCCCCCTGACTAGTCAGGTAGGTTTCTCCTGTAGGTATGGATCTTTCACACAGCAACAGGGGAGAGAATCATTTTTATGGAATAGGAACATTCTATTATAAAATCACAAACATTGCTGGCAGTCTCAGCAGCAGGTGCAGGGCTGAAGTTACTTTTAACTCTGCTTTTAAAAGTGAATTAAATTTCAAGTTGACAGTGTCTGGTGAAGAGGGACTGGCTGTCGTAACTCACAGTAAATCACAGTGTAGTGATGGGAAGGGATGTCTGCATGAGTTGGGGGACTTTTTAAATAAAGAGAATGTTGGGCCAGTTCAATGGGGAATGGCCCCTAGAGTTCCCCGGGGGGATTGGGGACTCTCTGGGGAGCAGAAAGCCCTATGAAAGTCAGAGTAGCATCAGATGATACTCCTAGCAAAATAAGAGTTCTTGAGACTGGGCCAGCCTGGTTTGTGAGAAGAGACCACTCCCTCCAGCTTAACCCAGACTGTAGAAGGAGCCCAGCCTGATATCTGTGGGCAGCCCTTAAATTGTCAGGACACCACCTCAAAAATGTCAGCACTCAGAGTACTGACTCACTTGGGGATTGCAGTGTTGTAGCCATGTTGGTCCCTGGGTGGGTGAGGTAATATCTTTTATTGAACCAACTTCTGTTGGTGAGAGAGACAAGCTTTCAGGTTACCTCTTGTGGCTCTTCTTCAGCTCTGGGAAAGGTACTGAGAGCTGGTCTACACTGGGAACTTATATCAGCATTAGCTACATCTCCTGGGGTGTGAAAAATCCACACTCCTCAGTGATGTAATTAAGCTGACTTTTCCCCCAGTGTAGACAGTTCTAGGTCGATGGAGGTGGAACACCTACACCAGTGGAAGAACCCTTCACGTCCTAGGGGTCAGGTCTTGTGAAAAGTGTTCACCCATGAGTGAAATGGTGTTTTTGTCTTCTATAATTTTTCTGGGTGAATTCAGTTAAGAGCATAGTGATTGTCTGTCTGGTTTCACCCCCACAGTTGTTGTTGTTGTTGTTAGGGCATTTAGTGCACCAGATGTGATAGGCATATGTCGGACCCACCCATCATAGATTTCCACCACAACTTCTACAACCATCACCCATCTATCAAACTGTCTCTAGAACACTCCCGCACCAGCATCAACTTTCTGGACACCACGATTAGCTTCAGTAATGGCATTCAACAGACAACTATATACAAGAGACTCCTGGATCACCCTACTTACCTTCACAGATCCAGTAACCACCCCAAACACACCAAGAAATCTGTTACCTACAGCCAGGCCCTCAGATACCATAGAATATGCTTTGAGGAGAAAGTCCAGGATACACACCTTCACCAAACAAGGACACTCCACTAGAGAAATAGATCACATCATGGAATGGGCCACCCAAATACCCTAAGAGAACCTGCTTCAATACAGGAAAAAACCAAAAATCCTCCAACCACACACCTCTAGTTGTCACCTACCACCCCACACTAGAACCAATATAGGGTATCATTAAACAATTACAACCCGTACTTGATGGGGACCACCTCCTGAAAAAAATCTTTCCCCAACCCCCTCTTCTGGTCTTCAAACAACCTCCCAACCTCACCAAGATCATTATCCGAAGCAACCCAGAAATTAGGATCCACGAACTCAAAGCAGCACTAGACCCTGCCATAACAGATGCAAAACTGGCCGACATTTCTCCACTGCTACAATGATCAATACCCTCTACAACACATCTTTCAAAATCCAGAGTCCTGCACATGCCTATCACAATATGTGATGTATCTCATTCAGTGCATTAAATGCCCCAATAATAACTATATGGGTGAAACCAGGCAATCACTACGCTCTCAAATGAACTCGTATAGGAAAAGGATACAAGACAAAAATACCATATCATGGGTGGGTGCACACTTTTCACAAAGTGATCGCTCTATATCTGATCTCTCATCCTCGTCCTCAAAGGAAACCTTCAAAAGACAAGCCTGGGAGCTTAAATTCATAACTTTGATAGACTCTAAAAATCATGGTTGTAAAAAAACCCACTGGATTTATGGCTTATTATAACAATCTGTAACCTACTGCCCTCCCCTTTTTGTCCTGTGACTACATGGATGTTAACAAGCCACATCTCCTGAAATGTTCCCTTGGAATATGTGTTACTTATGCTAAACAATCTGTTCCATCTTGTATTGAGCTGTGACACTGAGAACCTTTCCCAGACTTGAAGAGCTCTGTTTAAGCTTGAAAGCTTGTCTCTTTTACCAACAGGAATTGGTCCAATAAAAGATATTACCTCACCCACCTTGTCTCAATTGAGGATGTCATGTGATACATGGCTCCTAGCAGAGTGCTGCTTCTGAGGTCAAAAGAACAAATGGGATTCCTATGGATCCCCACTAACTGTGTTTCTAGTTAGGATCAAGAGATAGAGAAAGAGGTGGCTGAAGATGAGAAGCATCTCCTGATGCTCATCCTTCTCGTTGGGTTTGGGATACTGGGAGGAAATCTTGTGGGGCTTAGCTTGCTGGTTTTCTTTTTAGCTAGCAAGATTGAGGGCCTGTATGTCCTATGGCCAAGGTTTGTTTACTTTGATTAGGTGGGGGGTGTCCTTCATTCCTGCTACATCCCCTTTTGTTTGCAGTAAGTATGCTGAGAGCTTGAATCCTTGATGAGGAAGTGGCTTTAAAATGCCAGGGTTTATATGGGCTCTGAGTTTTGAAGTGGTTGTGCTGGTCCTTTCTCCAAGAGCTGTCATGCAGGCTTTCCCCTACATTATCTCTCCCACTCAAACTAGTCTTGTTTTAAGGCCAAACCTTCATCCTCTTTCTGTTACAAGGCTGATTTGTTTTAAAATATATAAATTAAATCAAACCTTTGGCGTTGGCTCCCATATAAATCTTTGAGGCACTCTGCTAGCCCAGAGCCATGCTTGTACTGTGCCTCTGTGACATCTCCTGTTCTTTCTCCAGTGATTCTGATAACTATTCAGACAGCGGGGGCTTTTCCTCTCTCTTTGCCCTCTTTGTATTTTTTCTCTTGTTTCTTAGCTTTCCAGCTCTCGTCTTTCCTATCAGCCTGCTGCCCTGGGAGTTGGATCAGCTGACATGGGGTATCCAGTAATCTTTGCTGGTGGTTTGAATGCTGCACATCCTCATCAGGTACTCTTGGAGGTTGGGAGAATGAATATGGCGTGCACCACAGCCACTAAGTGTCACACAGATAAGACATCCTTTAAAACCATTGCATGCCTCTGTATGCAGCTAGGTCAAGAGTGCAAAGGATCTAGAGTAATTTAAAAAAAACATGGTGCTAGCAAATAAGGCAGGAAGTAGCTTTATGATGCTCTTGGAATCACCTGAAGTGGGACTTTAATCAAGGTGTTTTCCACTGGGTAAAATGGAGACATTGCACTGAGAACAGGGTAAGGCCAGGGATAGGTCTGGAGAAATGGCACTGAATCTGCGTCACAGAATTAGGAAGGAAGTGATATATGAATTCTTTCATTGGGAAAGTCCCCTCCCACGACTTCCCCTCTCTCTTGCTCCCTGTCAGAAAATCACTGCTGTGTTCTAGCAGAAGTGTAGTCAGAGCATATCCATGGAGAGCCAAAAAGAACTTATTCCCAGCATGAGAGAATCAACTCTAGTGCTATAGTGTGTTGCTATATCAGTCTTGAGATCGCTAACTTGATCATTCCTTTCCACCTTAGTTGATTGTTCCAGGGAAGGAGGGTGGGGTGCCCCCAGTTCCTAGCCAGCCAGCACATGGCACTCAGGCTGACCATGAGAGGATGGTAATGTGCACCCCATTGGATGGAGCCCTCTACTCAGCAGCTACTCCTTCCAGTAGGTAGGTCTTAGTAAGAGGTGCAGCACCTCTTATGAGTTCATCTGTGACTATAAAGTTGAATCAAATTTAAAACTGACTTTTCTTTTAAGCATTTGCAGGGCAGTTCTTTTAAATTTATCAATAACACTAGATTGGCTGCTCTGCCTTAAAGCCAGAGCTTTCAGTCTGAGCACAGAGAAGCTGAAAAACACGTCAAACAAAGATCTAGTCTATCTGCTTATACTTTATGGCCCTCATAGTCTCTGAGCACCTTGTGTCATTTCAGTACCAAAGCATAACTTCTGGATCATTTGTCTGATCCATGAACAGCAAGTTGAGGCGGCTTCAATAGTAAATTTTAACCTCCCAAAAAGGCTTCATCTGAATTGTCATAAAGCATCAGTAATAGAAAACACCTATTTAACAGTTATATCAAGAAACCTTGGGGGCAAGAATCCTTGTCTAACAGGAAACAATGCAACTTTAAACTCCAAATTGCATGAAATCCTAACCTCCCTCTCAGCCAGTTAGAGCTTCCTGTTTGTGTCTCCAGATCCCTTTGTCCCCTGTGGTTCCATTCTTCTCTCATGGCCAGGGGACAGTTGCCATAGAAAACATCTTAACCAACTTGGTTTTCTACTCAATACAAAAACCCTGTTTATGTTATAATAGCACTAGTGCACTGGCCTGTGCTCCTTGACTAACCAGTCATTAGCAAATGGCTAACGCCTGCTGGAAAACCAAGGACCAGATTTTTAGAGCTGCTGAATACTTCTGAAAACCAGGTTTGGAGACTATAATTAGTAGCCACCCACTGAAAATTAACCAGATTAGCACTGGCTGCTGTGATATTGGACTACTCAGGCTTCACGGGGCCTGGGAAGGAGCATGGTGTTCAGATTCCCGACCCTGTCTCCTGACAGGGAAGATATCCAAGAATTCTGTGTTCCTGAAAGAGTGATGGTGATTGGCAACAGCTGCTCGAGCTTCCTTGCCATTTCTCAAATTAATCCCCTCATCCCATGCACCTCTTCTGAACAGCCTTTCCTCAGGACTGGCTGAGGTTTTCTGCCCTACTGATGGGGGTGGTTCCCTCATAGAGCCAAGCAGAAAGCTGCTCCACAGCCTGGCAGTCTCCATTGCAGTCGATCCTAGAGGATCTCCCAGTCGATCATGATCTCCGGTGGCACAGCAGGGCTGCCCAGGCCCCACACCGCTCCCGGAAGCGGCCAGTGCGCTCCACAGCCTCAGGAGCCAGGGGGACAAGGGTCTCCCTCCATGCGCTGCTTCTGCCTGCAAGCACCGCCCCAGTAGCTCCCACTGGCTGGGAATGGGGAGCTGTGTGGAATCATGTGCTGCCCGCCCCCTCCCAGGGGCGCGTTGGCCCCTTCCAGGAGCGGCGTGGGGCCAGGGTAGGCAGGAGCCTGCCTTAGCCTCACCGTGCCACCGACCAGGAGCCACCAGAGGTAAGTGCTGCCTGGCAGGAGGCCGCACCCCAGCCCTGAGACCCCTCCTGGAGCCAACAACCTGTACCCCCTTCTGTACCCCTAACACTCTGCCCCAGCCCAGAGCCCCTTCCTGCACCCAAACTCCCTCCCACAGCTTGCACCCCTCACCCCCTTCTGCACCCCAACCCCCTCCCCCAGGCTCAGCCCCAGCCTAGAGCCCGCACCCCCAGCCCAGTGAAAGTGAGTGAGGGCGGGGGAGAGCGAGTGACGGAAAGAGGGGGGGATGAAGTGAGTGGGGTGGGGCTTTGGGGAAGAGGCGGGGCCTCGGGGAAGGGGTGGGGTAGATCCTGGGTTGCCCTTAAATTCAGAAAGTGATCTTGGGCATAAAAAGGTTGGAGACCACTGCTCTATTGCATACTGATGGCTGAAGGGGAAAACAGTATCTGGCAAGAACAGAGATGCGTCTCCCTCCCCTTCCTCCCTACACTAGGAGAGGGCGTAGAAAAACAAGGGAATCTTGACAAAAGAATGTGGTTTTGTCTAAATTGTTTATGTGCAATGAGCCATCAACCCTTCTCCCGCAGTGAGGACACAGAAACCGTATCAAACAGCAGCGAAGGGAAGAGTGGCTCCCCACACGATCTCTTGGAGACCATCTTTGTCCGGAAAGTGGGGGCCTTTGTCAACAAACCCATTAATCAGGTAACTTGCAGTGATCGTTCTGAGGTGAACTCATGATGCACTTTTCTTCATGCCATTGCTGGACAGAGGGGGCCAGGCGTTGCATCACCAAGGCAGCCAGAGGAAACGGGAGACCAGACTTTAGCAAGGACTGCAGGTCTCTGTATGTGGTGCTTTACTGTATGCTGGGCGCTGTAGGCTCTGTGGTCTACACCTGTGTATTAAAGGGGAAGTTGACTGCAATCTCTTCAATGTCATGCCCTCTAAGTGTAGCCCTTGAGTTCCAGTCAAGTTGCCAGTGTGACTTTGGTGGGGCAAAGTTTCAGATCCTGACATACAGCCTTGCAATGGGATGGTGCATGCTGGATATGGAGAGAATCTGACTGAAGTGCTAAGGTTCTACCCATTGAATCTCTCCAGGTGACCATGGCCAGCTTGGACATTCCTTTCGCCATGTTTGCGCCCAAGAACGTTGAGCTGGAGGATAATGACCCCATGGTAAGAACCCCCCCCAGAGCCATCTGTGCGTGTCAAGTTTGGATCATGCCATACAGATGTATCCTTCTTGGCCTTAGCTTTGCATGCACTTCTGACCAAAGAACTAGCTACTCGCGTCAGCCTGGTTTCTAATAACATCCTCTATGCCAGAGTCTGGGCTTTCCAGAGATGGAAACAGCTACAGGTTTAGAGCCCCTGCTAGTCTGTGCTTACAGTCTGCACGCCCTTGTAACTATCACTATGCTTCTTCCCATGCTGTCACAACACACAGATGGGCTCAGTGACAGGATCTGAAACTGATCGACTCTGGTTTCTTGGGCAGGTGAATCCTCCTGACTCCCCAGACGCTGAGTCTCCTCTACAGGGCAGCTTGCGCTCAGAGGGCTCTAGTGGTAGCAGCACCGGGAACACACACGACGACTTTGTCATGGTTGACTTTGTAAGTCCATGCAGTCCTTTATCAGCCCAAGCTAGCACTTTTGCAGAGCACCTGTATCTGGGGTGGGCTGCAGGTGTTGGTGTGATGCTGAATGAAAATAAATGAATTGCTCCAAACGGGCTCATTGTGCTCCCATATCAAGGACAGGGTCTCTGGGCATCCTTAAAAATGGTAAAGACATAGATATTCGTAAACCCACAACTTGGGAAATTATTTCCTCTTCCCTTTCTCCACCATGGCCTGGGTTCAGGTTTTTGTGTTTTCCCTGTGTCCCATACACCTAAAGCAGAGTGCAGATTGTAGGGAAATACTCTGCTTTAGGTACTCATAAAGTCATCAGGGAAACACTAATTCTGGTCATGGCAGGGGATATAGGTGATGCTGCTGTTCAATTATTTGACTTAGATTTATTGCTGTAATGTTGAGTTGTTTGCTGGTAGCTGATGGTGCCTTCTGTCTGTGACTAGAGCGAAGGGGGAAATCTGGCCGAACTCTCTAAATGGGGATTAACGTTTGTATCTTTATTCTAGAAACCAGCATTCTCAAAAGATGACATTCTTCCAATGGATTTGGGGACGTTCTACCGCGAATTTCAGAACCCCCCTCAGCTCAGCAGCCTCTCCATTGACATTGGGGCTCAGTCCATGGCAGAGGATCTGGTATGGAAAAACGGGACTTTGGTGTGTGGGGGACATACATTCTCACAGTGCTCTCCTCCTCCTAGCTCCCTGAACAAGCCAACATCCCATATGAGAGCAGAGGCACCTAAAAGAGGGGTTCCTTGTCAGTCTGCTGAACATGCTTGTACATCTCGGAACCTGAAACCTTTGGAAGGAACCAGATGTGAGACCTTTTCAGTCTGATTCCTTCTCAGTGCATGTGTTCAGCTGTCATGGAGAATATTAGATGAGTTGTTGGTTTGTGCTACATGTGTGTGGGACAGTATTCATGTGCTGCATCGGGTATCCTCTTCCCAGAAGCCATTGCAGCTGCAGGACTCTTCCACTGTCCAAGACTATTCCCTACTGTCATAGTCTTGTACTTCCCCCCTCACTCCTGCATCTGCTAAGCTCAAGGCCCTACGAACTAGGACTAGTCACCACAAAGGAGTGATTTGGGAGGTCAGTTCTCCCAGTCCTTATCAAATTGTTCTAGAAGAGAGGAGCATAACCCATTCTCTAAGGTTCTGGGGAGAAAACCTACTGCCTTAATTCCAGCCCTGTCCCACCTATCTGGTGTGTGAGAGCTATTAGCCTGGAGCCTAAAATTGGAGTAACCTGAAATGTGCAGTTTTTTTTACTGCACATGCCGCATTTGTGAGCGAGTCCTTTACTTCGCCCTCCCATTAAATGACTGTCTGTGGCAGCTTTGAAACATCTGTTTCAGCTCCCAGCTGAGTGCTGCTGTCTGTTACCTGGAGGGGCAAATGTGCCATAGTTCAAATCTCTAGGTGAACCCAAATCTAAGAACCGAATGCTGCCTCTGCCACATCTGGTTTAGTGGCACACTGGATTGCATTAGGAGAAAGCGCCCAATGAAGGCAGTGAGAACGTTGCTTGGATGAGTGCAGTATCAGGCCCGCCACTTCTGTAACATGGTTTTGCCTGGGAAAACCATAATGCCTAATGCTAACAGCTGAGTGACTTTGTGCTGCAGGTCCAGGTTATGGTGCACCTGCTGCTTCTGTAGAAAAACAAAAAACTGGGCAAACTGCCCTTCCCAGGCTCACGTGCTGGATCCTGTCTGATATCCTGCTTCTGCTAGGAGTGGTACATATATAGAGAAGGAGAGCACAAATCGCAGCAGAGACCTTTGGCCAGAGTTTACTATATACGTTTCCATTGTTTTATAGCTTCCTTTCGGCTGACTGCACCTTCTGCGAGTGAGTCTTGATCTGAGTTTTTCTTTGCCTTCACAGGACTCGTTACCGGAGAAGCTGGCAGTCCATGAGAAAAACGTCAAAGAGTTTGATGCCTTTGTAGAGACTTTGCAGTAAAGCGGTTTTCTTATTGCAGCAGCAGTGTCCACACAGTGTCCGTCTTCTGGAGCACCTGGAGGAGGAAGCCTACAATGTCCTGTCTGCCACTCCTCTTTTGTGTCCCATTTTCCCCCCTGCATCTTGTGGGCTTTGTCAGATCACCTCCCTCAATACTAGGTACAGATTCAACTGTCAGTCTCCCCTCAGCCAGGCCCTGGGATAGTTTTGGACCCCTTTTCCTACTGGCATTTGAGTACTTATCTATAACACTACAATAGGGACAAAAGAAATCAAGCTTTGTTGTTAGTAACCCAGTTCCCCATCAGTCTTTGTTCTGTGTATGGAGGGGCTTTACAGAAAGTTGCCAGAAATGCTCTCTGCAAAGCCTCTTGCATCACAGTTCCCCGAGATTTAGCTTCTGGGGCACAGACCATCTTTTCCTTGGGTCTGCAATTGCACTGGAGTATAGACAGCCTTGGCTAACTCAGGATCTGGGCAGTGGCATACTCAGCTGGCTTGAGTGCAGGACATCAGCTCTTAGAAATGAGGCATTTCATCCTGTCTTCAGTGAGCGCATGGACTGCAGAGCGCAAGGGGATGAGGCAGACTTCCACCTCACGCGCTATACTGTGCCACGCCTTTAGAGGTCTTCACTTTCTGCTTCCAAGGAACTGGGTCTCTGCACAGACTTTCTCTCTGGGGCCTTGTGCTGGGCCTGTCTTCCTGAATCAGAGATGTGAAACTACAGAAGCTATGCGGAAGGGCTTTCCACATTTCCTTGAGTGTAGGAAAACCACCATGCTAAGGTCCCAGAATGTGATTGTACTGGTGCATCTGCAAGTGGCACCTTGGGAGTATGTTAAAATTGTAGTCGCTGCTCTTGAAATGCAGTTGTAAATACGAATAGGAATTCTATTTCTATTTCTCCAGGGTTATGTAACTAGGGGTCTTAGTCCTTTTTCCCTGCAAACCTTGCTGCTTTATGGTTAATATATAAGAAACAGGAAATATTTATTGCTTTTAAAGAAACCTATATTAAAAAAAAGTTATGTTTTCGTGTACTAGTGCAGGTCATTCGGTCCTGTCACTGCAGACAGCAGTTGTGCCATGGAGCCCTGTCCCATGACAATAGTCTGCCTTTGGTAGGGAAAATCCAAGATATTTATTTTCAGAGACATTTATTTACTCTAATACAGTGTTCTGTTCTGGGGACTTTTTTCCATGACACCCAGTCGGAGCATTGATATAATAACATGCACATGTTGGTGCAGCAGAGTGCAGGGACTTCCTGAAGAGCTTCATTCTGATAGGCTTGGGAAATAGACTTGTTCTGTTCCTCAGCCATTCGGGAAGTAGCTGGTTCACAGAAGCACACCTTTGAAAAGTTGATGGTACTCTTTTTAATCAGCTGGCTTATGATTAGCTAAAAGTTTATTTTTGTAATGCGCTAGCCATGAAGTAGTGTGATTGGCTGGCAGTGCTCTGTGTTTGATCTGGTTGTTGTGTGTCCTTTGTCTCACATGAGGAAGGGAGAAGCTGTGTAACGGCACTAAGCAGGAACTTGGACAGAGTAGGGCTTGTGTAACTCTCTCTGCCCTTTAGCCACCTGTAACTGGGCTGAGTAACTGAAGAGGAGACTCCTGCAAGTCCCCCTTGCTACCCACAGATGATATTTCTATAGAGTGGTGGGAGTTCTCTGTACTCTGAGGATCCTTGCTAGTTTCCTTACTACTGGTGGAGTTTTTGACCAGTTTGTGGTCAAAAAAGGCTGGATGTGGCTTTCTCCAGAGCTCGGCACAATTCCTTAGGTTGAAAAGGAGGGTTGCTAGAGAATGACACAAGGCCTTGGGTTACCAGGTGGCCTCTGCAGCCCTCCACCCTGTGCTGCTGCAAGAGCAAAGAATTGAGCTCAGGACCTGAATTGATTTCCAATATGCTGACATGTTCTTTTGCTTTCCCAGCCCTTGAGTTGGCAGGTGTTTGCTGTGCATGGTCAGTGGCCGGGTTTAGTGTATGCTCTAAAGCACCAGGTAGGGGTATTATAACTACTCGAAGCAGCAAATTTCCCCCTCCCAGGCCACCCACCCAGTCCAACTAACTCCCATATATAAATAATCGATCCTTGTTTTGCAAGGAGCAATCCAATCTCTTCACCTGTCTGCACCAGTGCTAAAAGGCCTCCCAGTGAAGTGGAATTGGAAATGCTGGAGGTGAAAATCCCACTATCCCTGTCAGTTAATAACACTGACTTAGAGGGCTTCAAAGCACTTGACAAATACTCCTTACAACCTGCCTATGAGGGAGGTAAGTAAGCTGCATCCTCACAGTACAGCTGTGGGAACTAGACCTGAGGTCAGGTGATTTGTCCAAGGCCACACAGTGAGTAAACGGCAGTGTCAGCAATAGAACCCAGATCTCCTGACCCCCACCCCCTGGATCAGCTGGTCATTCTCCGCAGTAAGTTGCATGTGGACGTACTCAGGCAGCCTGACTTTTAACTTGCAGGCTATGCCTGGGTGAGCTCTCCTGTCAAGTTCTTCATAGAGGTTAGTAAACTACTGGCATGCATTGTGCCTGCTAGGAAGAAATAGAATAGACCTTTCTGGTGGTGATCCTTCCCTAGGCAGCATTGCCTCTGTAGTTCCTCCTCATCTTCACACTGAACTGCTGTGGTATCCACAGAAGGAAAGCCATCATTCCTGTTTCTGTCCAGAAAGCCTCCAGGGCCTAGTGTCTGTGCTCAGTCATTTTCATGTGACTTTAACAAGGTCGCAGCTCCTGCATCTCACAAGGCACAACTTCTGTGTAGCAGCCATGTTTGTTTCATGCCACCCAGTGGAAATCTGCCCACCTGGGTTGATAGGGTATAGCTGGATAGCCACAGCAATAAAGGGTTTCTCTTGGGATGAGATACGTGCTTATTCCTGGGCAATCCTCAGAGTTTTGACACCTTCTCCATTCCAAAATCTAGTCACTCAGCTCTGTCTAATCAATGCTTTAGAAATGATTGGCCCACAGCAGTTCTGCAAGAGGGACCGAGCTACTGATGCTGTGGCCTGCTGTAGAATTAATTTAATGATGAATTTTGTCATATTTTAATAGCCATCTGCTCAGTCCTGTACTATGTCAAGGCAGCTTGTACATAGCAGATGACCTACAAATGCTTTGGGTGCAGGGTACTAAATTGTATTGTTTTGGAAATAGTCTCCAAGGCACTTCATGTATTCAAAGAATTTCCAATAAATCTTTTATGTAAGCAACTCTTACCTGGTTGGTCAGGCTGATCCGACTCTTCTGTGAATTACGCTGCAGGTTCTGATGCTGGGACGTTCCCACCCTTATGGCTTTCCCTTCCAACAGCCAGATTTTAACTGCAGAAGTCAGTACAGCTCCAGGAAGGAGCAGGGTTAATGCCTACAAAGTGCTATTTTGGAAGGTGGAATGGGATGCAATGAGGAAAGTTATGGATAGAGCTCTGCAAATCCGTGGGTATTTCTGCGGATAGCAGCATGGATGCAGATACAAATTTTGTATCCGCGCCGGGCTCTGAGGGTAAGAGTTTGGGGGGCAGCTGAGCGGAACTGGCGCGGATCCTCCACCTGCCCTGGGAGGCAGGGACACTGGGTCGGGGGCTACTTAGGCACCATGCCCAGGGCAGGTGGAAGGTCCGCCACAGCTGCCAGTGCAGCTCTCCCCAACTCGGCTCCAGCCAGGGAGGGGGGCGGCTTGGAACCGCAGCCCCGGTAAGAGCCGGGTGGGGAGCCGCAGTGGACCTTCCACCTGCCCTGGGTGGGGGGCCCAAGCAGCCTCCAGGCAGCTCCACAGCTCCTTTCCCCCCCAGCCAGGCCAGTATGGAGCTGACCCGGAGAGCCGCACAGATCCTCCACCTGCCTTCAGTGTGGGGGGTCTGAGAGCAGCCCCTGACCACTTCCCTTCCCCCCAGGCTCCTCGTGGGTGGGGGGAGAGTGGGATGCCTCGGAGCCTCAGCCCAGCCCCCAGAGCAGAGCCCTGCAGATAATTTTTCTGGATCGGATGCAGACACACACTTGTGTATCCACGCAGGGCTCTAGTTATGGAACAGGGCTGGGAGAGCAAAGGGGCAGAGCTGGTGAGCAGGCAGCACTGCTGCCTCAGAGAAGCATTAGTAAAGAGAGTGAGAATTAATCTAAAGGGGGGGAGGTGCGGTGGTGGGAATCTTTGATGTAACAGAGGGAACAGGAGCGGCTTTTCCTTGTTTGTGCAATGACACAGCATCCTGTCTTGTAGAGACTGCACTGGTTGTTGGGCCAGCGTGAACAAACATTGTCCTGGTGCCAGCTTCATCCCATGTTGCACAACTCAGGGTAGAATAGGTGAACAGAAATCTAGAGCTAGACCCAGACAAAGGGCTGCTTGGAAGAGGGCCCCTAACGCTTGTAAATCCCTTTTAGTGACATGCTTACACTTGAATAATTAATTCCCAGGCTGGCTCTGGGCACCAAAATGTTATCCTGCTTCTCTAGCTGTGACTTCTCCATAAACAAAAGCTTGACTGGCAGCACTTCAAGCTTCAGCTGGGAGCAGAAAATCCAGCTGGGTTTAGCCTGCTTCCTCTGTCACCAGCAGCCCCACAGATCCTGCAATCAGAGCAGTGCTGGCAATTGCATTCATGGTGTGCCAAGTCGAATAGCTTTGAGCGTGGTGCTCTACATGCTGTAGAGATTGCTCCATAGGCATGCCGGGGCAGAAAACGCACCTTTCTCTCCCTGTAAACAACTCTGCTGGCGACTCAAACAGGAAGGTGTGCTGCACAGGGGGTGAATCTGTACATGGCAAATGAGGGGCATTTCTAGATCCCTTCACTAGCCCTTGTTTAATCACCCCCTTCCACGGGCACCAGCCCATGCGGTTTGGGCAGATGCTGTTCTGAGCTCCTCACCTGCTGAGGTGAGAAGGGAAAAGAATCCAACATCTGAGTCACTGCAGCTGGATTATAAAGCTGCTCCCCTTCCCTTCCTGCTCAGGTTCAGGAGGCCTGGGGGGGCGGCAGTGCTGTTAGCACTGGGCTACTGGAATAAAGGGGGCTGCAGCAGGGCCCCCCCTTTTTTTGGCAAGATCGCGTGGACCAGATCAGCTCTAGCACCAGGAAAGGGGGCCCAGCTCTGAGTCCCAAGTGGAGGAAGGCACAGAACTACCTTTTGAGGCCCCACCTCTCTCCTTGATGATAATTCCTCCTGGTTAGCTTAGGCAGTTCTCTGCCCAGCTCTCTGGCCTTTGTGAATCCTGTTCTTAGGCACTGAACTCTCCCACTGCACAATATAGGGAATCTGGCACCTAACCTGGACTTCCAGATTCCAGGGGGCAGTAGGGTGCCTAACGTTAGGTGGTGCAGTGCCTGAGTCCCCTTTGTGGATCTAGCACATGGCTCCTGCCCATTGAGTGGGGGAAGCAGTGCTGTCCCTACGTGTGTGTACACGCCCTGGAGAGGCACAAGGAGGATGGACCATGCACAGCCCTGCTCTCTGCTCACAGTTGTAGCTGGGTGAATAACAAGCCATTCTGCTTTCTCTTGTAGATCAGCCCCAGAGGCTGCATTTTGGAGAAATACACCATGCTCTGGGGCTGAGTTTTGGTTTTTATTGAAATACAAAAAAGTGCAAACTGTGAAATACAGGATCGGTGCAGTGTAGAAGGAAATAAACATGGAAGTGAATTAATGTCTCAGTAAAAACCCCAGCCCTGTGCCTGCTGAACATCAACTGGAGAGAAGGCAGGGAACACCAGCAACAAAAAGCAAAGCTGTAAATTGCACTAGAGCCCCACTGCTTGAAAGAGCAACCAGGGGCTAGTTTGGCCCTCAGAGGTCTCTGCTGAGTCAGCAGAGAGGTTACCATAAGGCATCAAATTGACCTTGCCTTCATCTTCATGACCCAAAGGCTCTGGTTGCAGAAGAGAGAGGCAGAGAGCTGACAGCTGGGGCCAGTTGTGGAGTGTGTGCTCACAGGCTGCTCAGACACCCCTGGAATGAGGGGGGGAGGGAAGTTGGGTGCCGCAGAGCAGGGCACAAAACATGTCACCCTCAAAGGGCCGCTGTGGCCAATATTTAGTATGGAAGCCACGCTGGGGAAGGGGCCCTTGGGCAGCTGTACTTAGGAGGAGGACACACTATGGGAGACAAATACAGAGTAACCATGGGCCCCTCACCTGCTACCAACCACCTCTTACAGGCACCAGGGACTAGAACCTAGTCTCTTGGGCCAAGGTTGGTCCTCTAGCCGCTCCAGCTACCTGCATGTTGCCTCCCTCCCAGCTCTGCCTCAGGCTGTACACCCAAGGAGGCACCCAGACAAGGAAGGCAATTCAGTCCTGAGTTAGTTGGCAGAGACGTGGACTTGGTTGCCCACCTGCCACCCGGCATGGGGAGCCAAGGACTGCAGTCAGGCCCAGGCCACAGCTTCACATACAAGCCACAAGAGTAGTATTTTCATAAAAGGCATCCCGAAGAATAAATTGCAGTAGCAAAGTAGCCAGCGCTGATGTGCCTGTTCCAAGCCTCTTGGCAGCTCGGGGGAAGCAGGCAGGGGTTGGGTAAAGGAATGGGAATATTTACACTGGAGTGCTCCCAAGACCTTGCGAGCCCATTCCCACCATCTGCAGTACCAAGAGCCTGATCTTGCTCCAAGTCTGCTCCCTTCCCCATGCAGGGCTCTGCCCCAGGAGCAGGGTCATCCCCTAGCACAGGGATTTGCAGCAGGTCCCGTTACGCTCAATAGGAAAGCCATAAACTCAGGAGTTTTAACTATATAGAATATTTTTTAAAAGTGTCTCTGGGAAGCTAAGGAAATACCTGCCCCAAGTGCAGCCTCAGCCTGCCCCTGCTGCAGCCCAGCCCAGCTTTTCTCAACACCGAGCAGGTCAGGATTCAGTGCTCCCAGCTGGAAGTCACTGCAGAGAGCAGCGGATGAGCCTGCAGCCAGGTCCTTGTGCCCCAGCCCATGGGGAATTTCTGTTCTAGGCTACTGGGCTTAAGATTCTGGTTGTTCCCAAGGAGACCAGCAGGTTTTTCCTTTCCTCTGGGCAGATCTAAGCCAACAAACGTTTAGCTGTGGCCCAGATAACGTCAACAAGCCCAGCCTAGCTTGGCTCTGAAATACATGCAGGTGGGGATACTCCCTTGAGAGGGGGAGACAGAAGATGTGATATGGGGTCACGCAGACAACACCCCTTTCCAGAGTGTCCCACAGAGCATGGCCAACAGCAACAAAACTCATGGGGCAAGTGTAGGGCTCTTCCTACACTGCCCTCCTCCCCCCCACTTCAGTAGGAGCACTGAGTCCCTCCAGCTTTCCCAAGAAACCTCCATGGCAGAGCTACTCTCCATGCTGGATCTACCAGAAGTCAAGGTGAACTAGAAGCCCTCTGTCACCCACCCAAACCATCACTATGGACTTATTCACAGCAAAGGGCATTTGTGGCCCAGCCCAACAGGCAGAAATTCAACTCACACAGCAGCACGTTCAGATCCAGGCCTGGTCCCTCCCCTCCACGGGCTCTTCAGCCTCCCAGAGAGAGATTCACTCAGTACCCAGGGTGGGATGGGTGGCCCCAAGCCGTGCACAATCTGTTCTCCAGCCCTCAGAATTCTCTGCTCCTCCACTTGCCCATCTCACCCTTTTGTGGGTCACCCCAAGAGCAGCCAATCAATCGGCAATAGCTAGAGTTGCCGAGCTGGGCCTGGGCTCCATTGCAGGACAGAGTTCTTGCCAATCCTGGGTCCCTGCTCCTAGGCTTGGCAGAGGAGACCCCATTCCTGTTGTTGGTGCTCATCAGAAATTTGTCTGTTTTTAAACCAGGGTATCAGCCTTTGGTCAGTTTCGAGGGCAGGTTAAAATCCTATTAAAAGCAGATCAACTGCCACTTTATAAAATGAGCTCTGCTTGGTCCCAATGTTTCCCCACTGCTGTGGTGCAGCTGGGAGCAGGACTGGCCAGGCGGAGCAGGGCACAAGAATTATGGGTCTTGGGGAGTGAGGCTAGAAACTGAGAGTCTCGCTCCAGTGTGAAAGCTCCTCTCTCACAGGAGCTGCTCTGTTCCTGAGCCTGGCCTGTAGAGAGCCATCTCCCTCCCTCCTTACCTAGCATATAAGGGGTGTATCAAAGTAGCTCCCCTGAAGGGGTGGAACAGATATATGGAGTAGTGAGGAGCTGAGCTAGGGGCATGCTGTATGCTTTGGCATGTGAGAGCTCAGCACCTGGGCAGGTTCCTGCGACCCAGGCCTCTCACACTC